GTGTGTGTGTGTATAATGTATGTGTGTGCATATATTTATATATACAAATATGCATATATACATATATGTATTGCATGTTTGTGTATATATACATGTGTGTGTGTGTGTGTGTGTGTGTGTGTATTTCTTAACAGGCAAAGATAAGAAGGAATTGCATTCCAGATGTGGACCAATTCCTACATAGGCCCAAAAGTTGGAGAATACCATTTATTTTGGCTGAAACATGAATGATGAGCAAAAAGTAGTGTGAACAGAGAGTAAAGGTAAATAAGTCTGAAAGAATAGGTTGGAGACAAATTGTAGAAGGCTTTAAATGCCAACCTAAGAAATTTGTATTCTATGATGTAGGCAATAGGGAACCACTGGAGGTTTTTAGCATGAAAGTGACGCAGTAAGACCATACATTAGGACAATCATTTGGGCAGTTATATGAGGGAAAGATTGAAGAGGAGAAAAAAATGGAGACAGGCTCACTAGTAAAAAAAAAAAATCTATTCTAGTAGTTTAGAACAGAGGGGATAAAGGTCTGAATAGAGGTAAAGGCTGTATGACTTGAGCAGAGGACACAGGTTCAAAGGATATTTTGGTGGTAGAAGTGACAAGGCTTGACAACTAATTGGATGTAAGGTAGGGAAGAAGAATCCAAGAATCCAAACTCCAAAGTTTCTAAATTAAGTGAGTAGGCAATTTGTGCCACAATCAGGAAGACAATGCTATTGACCTATGGACAAATAAGCAGTAGGTATTGCAAGTAACCCTGACAAGGGCACCAGCTTCTCTCCCCATATAGCATTCCTTGTATTCAGCCTATACAAAGTAGACTAACTCAGGACCGGGCTAGAAATCCTGGCCCATACACTCCAGAGCTTACTGACTATGTTGTCATAAAAGAGAATTCCAGAGTGGAGGTGAGACCTGTGGGCCCCAGCAATTCACCTCCAAGCAGTCTGCTTACATGGGTGTTTTTCCCTGCGTGGTTGTACTTTCATTTTCCTATATTGTGTGTCACCGAGGAGTCTCCTGCAATGGGCAGTAAGTAGTATAAACTACTAGAGGTTCACAGCTGTGCACTATAATGGCTTAGGCAGGAATGACAGAGTGTGGCAAAGTCAGTGGAACTATGCCTTTGGCAACACCTTCAGGACCTTTCCCTAATGCCCTTGGGTGTGGCTGAGCCAGAGATCATGGGCCTGGCATTCAGAAGTGGAAGGAATAAAGTAATAAGGACATATAAAGGAAAATCCCCCTCTTCCTATAATCACAGAGGGCTTGATGTGGCAATCATATGTGGGGTTGAGTGAACTACAAGAAATGGTGTGATTAGCTTGTGGTACAGTAATAGCATGCCACCTCAGTGACAGTAGCAATTCTATAAAACACACCTTCCTCGTGATGGTAAAATTGCTGCCTAACTACTATTCTTCCCCCACCCCCCCCCAAGCTCCAGGGACAGCTAGAGTAGACAACAGCCTTCCTAGGTTTGCAGGAGTAGACCTTTAAGACCTAACCATGGACCTTCTCAAGAGCCCTGGCAATGGTAAGGGATGCATTCTAGATATGGCATTTTCTCTGGTGGAGTAGAAGCACCTTTGTTTGAGAGATATCAGCACTTCTAGGACGAGTTATTACTATAATTACTACTAATAATAAGTAGCTAGCACTTAATATAGAACTTCAGGATTTGCAAAGTTCGTGATACTTGGTATATCCCCAAAACAAATCAGATGTGACCACTAGAAAACATAGTGTGATACGGCAGGAAGAATACTGGGTATTAAATCAGAAGGCCTAAGTTCAAGATTTCGCTTTGTTCTTGTTGTGACCCTGAACAAGTTTCTTCACCTCTCTGGTTCCTCAATCTTTAAAATAATGGCATTGATCTAAATAGCACCTCCAACTCTAAATCCTCTGCTGCTAAGAGCCTATTTTGGGATTATGATGAAAGGCAAAGGAGGTGATTGTTGGCCTGTATCAATTAGTTCTGAGTGCCATCCAGTGCCAGAAAGAGGTGGTACTAATAGAAATATTTCATATTGGCATAAATAAGACCTTAAAAGACCATTTGGAAGGGTATCCCCTTCCTGGAAATAGTTGACATTGTTGATATGACAATGAAACTAAATGACTACCTAGAAAGTGATGTGGACTTGGGATGAGAAAGCATATGCTGAACCTTTGGGATGAACACAGAATCCCAAGTACAGGAAAGTGTGGATCAGTCAGAGATTAAGGCTTCTCGAGGGATAGCTAGTCTGGGTTTACTCTGCTTCCTGCATAGGATCCTTAAAAGCTCGACCCACAATGCCAATCGGACCCCCCTGGAGACTGTAAGACGGGGCCTTTAGGAAGGCAAGGAAGCCTTAAGAATGAATAAGGAGATACCACCCACAGACCTTAGTCTTACAAGGTATAGCCTTATTGAGGCTGCTAAGGACTGATGTCTACAAGGTGAAGGGTCCAGAGGGGCAAGAAGCAAACAACTGAGTGAAGAAGATCCACTGATGATGGGATAAAATCAATATCATACAGCTTCTTTCTTAATTACAATTAAGGTATATTTTTATTAGGGTCCAGGAGCCAAGGCACACTGCATGGACATAAGTCTTGATAGGTTCTGGAGGGCCTCAAAACTCAGGAAAGCAGTAGGAAGTGCCATCCCAAGAAAAGTTCAAGCTGGGAGAGGAGTTACAGGGGAAGAGAAACCTGCTCTCCAGGTCTGCTGTGGCAGAACGCCATTTCACAGGGCCAGGTCATTCAGGTAAAATAACTACAGGTCTAGTCAACAATGGGCTCTACCCTGGAAGCCTCAAAGATGGGCATATGGCAAAATTTCTGCCTTGATCAAAGTCAAGGTCAATAAACAGTACAATGGAAGTAGTGATTGCTCTGGAGTCAAATTCCACTTCTAATGCTTACTACCTGTATGATCCTGGGCAAGTCACAACTTCCTATGACTCAGTTCCCACTCTGCAAAATTAAAGGGTTATATTAGATCAGGGCCAGGGAACCTGCAACCTCAAGGCCACATGTGGCCCTCTAGGTCCTCAAGTGTGGCCCTTTGACTGAAACTTCACAAAACAAATCCTTTTAAGAAGGGGATTAGATGATCTCCAAGTTTGCTTCCAACTCTGTATCCATGACCTGTGATCTTCCCTGAACCTGGTTCACATCATAGACATTGAAGCTTCAAGTCTCCCAGGACAAACGGATGAAAATAGCATGGGGTAGAGCCATGTTTCACTCTGGAAAGGAAGAATTCAGGCACCTAACCACCCTGGGGACAAGCGTGGGGTTGCTCCTCTAGACCACATGCAAAGAAAGGCCTTAACGAGCAAGTGGTAAAGAAGATTACCCCCAATTTGCATTGGCAACACAAGGAGACCATGTAGTACCCAAGGAAAGGGGGACTCTCCCAAAAAACATTTGGAACTAAACAAGTTCACCAAGATAAAGATTCAACCTGTTTTACCACAAGGAGGTCTATTCCTGGGAACTTGTTTATAAACATGAGAAAATAAGGCTTTGGAAGTTAGGTTTCTCAGGCAGGTAAGGCATGGGAATAAAGGAAGGCTTAAAGCCCAGAAATCTGCTCCTCCTGTCAGGACCCCATCACCTTGTAAGAAAAGGAACAGAGGCTTGTGGAAGTGAATGTTGAAAACTAAAAATAAATAGATTATTTTAAAAAAAAAAGGAACAGAGGGAATAATTAGAGCAGCTATTAGTACTAAGCAGCCCTTTAAGAGGACAAGAAGAAACTCGTAAGAGAGTTCTTGACCTATAACTGACAGTTGTAAAGACCTTGGCAACCACATGGAATGCCAGTGAACAGAGGGAAAATACCCATGCCCTTGCTGGTGTGAACCAATTTCCCCCAAGTACACGTAAGTAGGTCAAATCATGTCTCCTCACAGACTAGACAAAGGAAAGGGGGAGAACTGATCTTGAAGGGGAGATACTATTACCACAATCAAGAAACTAGGACAGTAGAGCTGTGAAAACAAAGGCTGGAGTTTTTGCCAATAACATTGGCAAGGTTGGACGAAATGAATGCTGAGGACTGTTCCAACTCTCAGTTCTGTGAAGGACACCAGTCCCTCTCCCCATCAACCTATATAAAGCAAGTGAGGTCAAGCTTCTGGGCTAGTACTTTCAACCCGAAGCTCATTCTGTAGAACTGTTGTCAAGAGAGAGCCAGGTGAGGTCTGTCCAAGATAAAGAAGTGAAGCTCACAAAGCTCACAAAGTCTGATTACCTTGGGTGGCTTCCCCTGTGTTGTGAGAAGATTCCTGTGCACTGAGCAACACTGAAAACCGATGGAAGTCACAAAGTACAAGACACAGTAAATAGCTGGACTAAGGACTCCATGTCACAATGGCTACATCCTTAACAACACCTCTTCCTAATTCCTAAGCCCTTCCTAATTACCTTAGGTGTACCTATTCCTGAATTCACAGGATAGTAACAGATGGTGCCATTTTAAAAATAAGTAAGTTGTTAGGGATCTATAAGGATGTAGAGGGCCACAGGCTGTTCAAGAGGTCTCACTGATGGGTGAAGGCCCCTCTCAGGTGCTGATCTTTGAGCAAAGGTCTCCTGGTTCGGTGTTCCATTGTATGGATCTGTAACAATCTTTAACTCCTCTAGTTATTGTGTGGTCATTAGCAGTCTATTCTGGGACTGGAGTCAGATAAGTGCACAGGAGGTGCATGCACTGTCCTTGAGCACAGCATGAGCTATACGTCATTGTAACTTGAGAAAGAGTTCCTGTTATTTTACTATATAAGTAAGTGCTTTGCTAAAAATAAACGGAGTTGCTTCCATCTTGTCTCCCGCCTCATCAATGCGCATTCGAGATAGAAGGTTAAGCTGGCCTTATCCCTTCAAAGTTAGGATCCTGGCTCTAGTGGTGAGCTGAATTAGTTGTGCACAACAGTAAGTAAATAGAGGGATGAGAGAGAGAGAGAGAAGAGAGAGAGAGAGAGAGAGAGAGAGAGAGAGAGAGAGAGAGAGAGAGAGAGAACAAGAGAGAGAGAGAATCTAGAAGGGCAGATTTTAATAAGAAATTGATGTCAGCCTTAAATATGTCAAGTTTAAGATGCTGGCAGGACCTCTTGGTGGAGATGCTTACCAGAAAGTTACAAATCTGAGACTGGAATTCAGGGCAGAGATTGTGGATGGACATATAGATTTGGTAATCATGCGCATAAAGCTGATATGAAATAATGAAGGGAGTGTAAAGAAAAAAGAGAAGAAAATCCTACATTTAGGAATCAGCAGGAAGATGAACAAACCAACAGAGAAAAGGAGAAGAACCAGATGACAGCTATGTCATTAAGTCAAAGGAGGAAAAAAGTAAGTATCCAGCAGAGTGATTAACTATTTTGAGGGCTTCAGAAATGTCAAAGAGACTGAGAAATGAGAAAAGACTATTGGCTTTGGCTGTTGACACTTAATTTGGGCAGTAGCTCTAGCCTGGTAGATTGTTGAGACACAATCACTGAGTGTTAACAAAGTGAACCATCATGTTCTTGTTTACATTAACTCAGCTTCAAGGCCTTCCTCAAGGAAGTTAAGACATAATTGGGAGCACCAAACCTCATCAGACCTGATTTCCATTTTATGAACTCATTAGATTAATCAGGATGTTTGGCTTTGTAAATAACTCAGACAGAATACAGCACTTGATGTCATACAGCACCAGTTCCTGGCTCCGCCGCTAACTGTGTGATCTTGGAAATGTCCTTTAATGTCCCTAGACCGTTGCCACAAAGGTTCTGTCTGAGCAGCCTTAAATATGGCCAGCCAAGGCATTTAAGGAATGCCACTTAGTAGCCCAATTCACTTTCAGCTCTCCCAGCTCAGGGCAAAGAGAAACATAAACAGAAGTTATTGCCACAGAAAAACTGGAGGTAGCTGTAGTGGGAAGGGAGGGAAACAGAAAGGAATAAGTATTTATATAGCATCTACTATGGGCCAGGCACCATCCTAAGTGCTTTACAAATCCTATTCATTTGATCCTCACAAAAACCCTGGGAGGTAGGTGCTGCTATTATCCTCATCTTACTGTTGAGGAAACTCTGAGGCAAACAGACTTGCCCAGAGTTACATAGCTAGTGTCTGAGAACACATTTGAACTCACATCTTCCTGTCTTCAAGCCCAGCATTCCATTATGCCATCTAGCTGCCTATCAGTGGTTAGTTTTGTATACTGCTCACTAAAACCAACCTTGCCAAGTTGCCCGCCACACATTCCCTATCCTCCCTTTACTACGCCTCTTTCCCCAAACATGCATCATTCATCATTTTCTGAACCTTCTCCTATATACCTCCTTCAACAACCAGACTCCAAATTCCCCTACCCTTTCCCTAGGCATAGCTAGCATAATGCAAATATGCCAACTCTTCCACTGCCCTCATCTCCTACATTCTCCCAGGAAATACCTATCTATTTACACATTCTTATATTTCTTTTTATTCATGAAACAATAAGGGAAGATCAGAGCAAAGCAATGAAGATATGACTAATTAAGACTTATTAGGTAGGTTCAAGAAGCAAGGGGTTAGAGTGGGAATAGTTGGTCAGTGATGCACACACAAGATATGCAAATAAGCCAATAAGTGAAGGATATGTTATTTTTCGGATGGAGAGCTCCCAGAATGGGAACTCTCTCTCTCTCTCTCTCTCTCTCTCTCTCTCTCTCTCTCTCTCTCTCTCTCTCTCTACTAGACAGCAAAGTCTGTGACTTAGTGGATAAATGCTAGGGAGATTCCAGGTTTACACAGTTAGAATTAGATGTGGAGTTTTAATACCCTTCTAATTCCAGACCCAACATTTTATCTCTACACCAAAGGTGCCTCTCACCCACTAGATAGTAAGCTATATAAAATGTACCCTTTCCAAAAATATTTCCTAGATTTCCCATGAATCAAATGCCTTCTCCTGGTCTCAAAAATACTAACTAGTGTGTTCTTCTAACACTGTTATGGACACAAGTGAGAGAGTAGTGAAAGACTCAAAAGGTGATGTTTTCAAAGGCATGGTTGTCATTGACCTTTTGATGCAGTGTTCTTATTACCCTTCCCATTGGTAGTGTTAGCACAGTGCCTAGAATATAGTAGTCACTATATAAATGCTTGTATCCTCCTCCCTTCTCTGTGCCTCTGGCCTCAGCCCAATGCTCAAAACTTTTCTCAGGAAAACATAATGTAAGGAAAGACAAATACAGACAGTCTAGGAAAACCATACAGGTTACTAGGCATCCCAGAGTCACACCAAGTTCTCTCCCAACCCATCAGCTTTGTAGGCACAGACCATGAGCCAATTTATGAAAACCAGCCCAGAAGTCTGGGATCTTCCTGCTTTTACTTATTTATGTATGTCCTTCTCAGGGTGGGACAGAAACTGATTCCCTCATCAGAACTATTAGCAACAGCTGCTACTTTCTACCTCTCCAAATCAACTACCCTTATATAGCACAGCCCAGTATGGTGATGGTAACCCAACCTCCAAAATCAAAAGCAGATAGATTTCCTGCTTCATATTACGCTACTAAAAGTCAAGGCTGTTGGCTCCTTCATTTATTGACAGTAAATAAGCATTTCTTAAGGACCTAGTATGTGCTAGCTAGATAACTTGCTAAGTGCTAGTAATACAAAGAAAGACAAAAAAACAGTCTCTGCTTTCAAGGAGCTCACAGTCTTGAAAATAACAGAAGGATAGTAGCTTCCAAAACTCTCAGGCTCACAGCAAAAATCTATCTTGAATCAAACTACAGAGAAAGCAGCTTGATTGAAAAGCAACTCTCATTATTTCTTTAATAAAGTACTACAATAGACACCCTGCCTCTTAGAAGTCCAGAGCAATGAGCTAATATTTTGAACAGTTTCTAGGCATATTCCAAGGAGGTGGTTTTATCCCTAAACCTCCTGGTATCTGAGAGAACAGAGTCTGATAAATATTAGGAAGCCTAGTGAGTACTAGTGACGGAACATGGCAGTGGTAGGTGTATAGGATCATAGATTCAGAGCTGAAGGGATCTCTAGATCTCGTGTAGTCCCACCTTCTTATTTTATAGATGAGGAAAATGAGGCAGGTCACACAGGCGGCAGAAGCGGGAACCCAAGACAGGTCCTCTCACTCCAAATCCAGCATTTTCTGCACTGTGCCAGCACCAAAGGTGCCATTCACTCTGAGTACCATGCTTCTGAAATATCAATTCAGAGGTGAACTCAGCAGCCCCAGATCCAGAAAAATTCAATTAGATAAAATCTGACCTTAGGGTCTTTCATGGACTATGTATGCTCTGCATACGTGTTGTTTCCCCTGAGAAACAGTTCCTTGAAGATATAAATTATTTCATTTATGTCTCCGTGTTCTTAGCACCTAATACATTACGTGACACAAAGTAGGAACTTAAATTCTTGTTGAATGAGTGACTGGGAGTGAAAAGGGATAGCAACCAGCAACCAGGTCCTAAATTCTCCAGGGACTCACCACCTCTCACCCCACTCTACTTCTTTCTCTTTGGATCCTCCCAAGACACACCACAGCTGTTCAAGCTCTCAGTCTCATCCTCACTCTCAGGCTCTCTCCCTCTCTCCTTCTCTCTCTATTTCTCCCTTTCTCTCTGTCTCTCTCTCTTCTCTCTCCTCTCTTTCCCTTTCTCTCTCTGTCTCTCTCTCTGTCTGTCTCTCTGTCTCTTTGTGTGTCTCTCCCTCTCTCATTCTCCCTTTCTCTCTCTCTCTCTCTCCCTTTCTCTCTCTCTCTCTCTGTCTCTCTCTGTTTCTCTCTCTCTATCTCTCTCTCTCCATTTCTCTCTCTGTCTCTCTGTCCATCTCTTTCTCTGTGTCTTTCTCTGTGTGTGTGTGTGTGTGTGTGTGTGTGTGTGTGTCTCTCTCTCTCTTGCACTCATGTCAAATCCCAAAATACACTGCTGAGCTCAGTACCCCATGGCTGTCAAAGTCTCTCAGCTACTTTGGCTCTCCACCTCACACTAGGCCTCCTTTGTCTGAAAATCACTTACCACAACCACTCTCTCAACACTTTTCCTACTCACTCCAGAATGTACTCACTGAAACTGCCAGCTCTCCTTCCATACTGCTGCATTCATAGCACTCAGGCAACCTTCAGATCACTAGTGTTTTGGCTGCTTTCCAACACTCCTAAATACTGCCCCTTAAAAAAAATGGCCATCACTTGCTTCCTCTTCAGCTGTCTGCACAATGGTAGGACATAGGCAATAGGAAATATTTCCTTGCTTGTTCATTCCCCTTTTCATCATGTCTCCCAAGACTCTAACACTGAAGGGGCCTAGAAGTCATGGAGCTAACCCAGGAAAGGGCAGGAAAAAGTACAACCACAAGGAGACAAGTAAAGAGAACTTTTGGAACCAATATTATCACAGTGTCCTTTAATTCCCCAAGAGTGCAGAAAAAGACAGAAAGAAGAGAAGGAAAGAGCTCTGCAAAATCACAGAGGGAGTATAGAGAGGAAGGATAGAGCAGATTTCTGAGCCATTTGAAGAATGATTCAAACCATTTTTTTAGAAATGACATAAGCTTTAAAAGTGTGGTAAACCTCTTTGGAAATTTGGGGAGGAGGCATAAGTAATGGAAAAAAATTCATTTTGACAAGGAAGGATCAAGAGAGCATTAAGGCAGATAAATAAAGGTTGGGAAGTACTTTTCTCAAGATTGTGAGAGATATTGATTAAAGGAGGGAGGGGAGGAGAGAGAGAGAGAGAGAGAGAGAGAGAGAGAGAGAGAGAGAGAGAGAGAGAGAAATGAGGCATAGGAAGAATGTGAGACAACGTGTTATGTGACTGAAGGGAGAAGAACTGAAAGGAAATTGACAAAAATAACACATCAACAAGGAATAGTTAAGTTTTGTGTTTTGAACTGTTTATGTGTTTCTTTAAATGTTGCTCCTATTTAAGAAAATGAACATCCATTATATCTCATTCTAATCAAGATGTATAACAATCAGGTATTCTGAAAAAAAACAGACCAGGAAATGAGAACATTTTAATAGGATTGACATACTATGCTAAACAGTTCACTGATTATAGAATTAGAATGCTCATGGCTTCCTTTGACCTGTTCTGGCAACATTTTGAAAAACGAATGAACAGAAGACTGAAGTACTTCTGGTTTGAGTTGACATTTGAGGAAAAAAAATCTAATCTGTCCTACTCTGGTGCCTTATCACAAAATGCAGATCACTCTACTTTGTCACTCAGATCACTTCACTAACCTACTCTGCCAATGTTTCACCACAGCCTGGAAGTCAACAAGGTGAGTAAAACCTACGTCAACAGAGGACAGGCTCTGGCAGAACCTACCAAGCTAGAAAGGCTCCAAGGCTACATCGTTAAAGAGAAGCTGTATGTGAGTCATGCAGAAAGGCTTATTAGCATAGTTGTGTATAGAGCATGTGCCAGGACACCCAAGCCATTCTCATTGCATGACTGTGCTTATTAACAGAACTTTGATCAAGGGATTCTTTCTTGTTCTTCTTCTTGTCCTTTTTGTTATCTTTTTTTCCTTCTTTCCTCTTTTTTTGTCAAAACTCATCAATACTATCTACTAAGTTTGAAGAAGTTATAATCTGCATCGGTAAGGGAACTCCCCTGCCAATGAAGTTGTGGCTACAAACAAGCCCTAAAATATAAGCTTGTAATTTAATATGTGGACATCTAACTGACCACATTTATGATATTATGAGAAAAAGCTTTTCTATGTTAAAATAGCAATTTTGTACTTTCAAAACCTGTGTCATGTGAATCTTTTTTTGTTTGTTTGTTTGTTTGTTTGCTTGTTTGTTTTCTTTACTGAAGTTAAAGAGATTGGCAATCAGTACCTGTTGTACATAGAAACTTAATTTGACTACTGGAGAAACAATTCCTGAAAAGGTTTGATCTAACACTGTATTATATATCTGCTAGGAAGCTTAATGTTTGAATTACCTAAACAGTTTGTCCACATTTCTTTGGGAAAGTGGGGCCTAGAACTGAAAAGAGATCTTAGAGGTCATTTAATCAAACTCCTTCAATTTCCAGAGGAAAATAAGTCCTAGAAAGATTATGTTATTTACTCAAGCTCATACAGTAAAGTAGCACAGGCAGAATTCAAACACAGCTGTGCCAAGAGTCTTCAATTTTCCCCACTGAACTTGGATTCATGGACTGATTTCAGATTTCAGCTCTGCCATTTTCTACCTGTGCGACATTGAGCTAGTCACTTAATTCCTAATTCCTCCACTACCAGTGATCTTAACCTTTCTACAATTTAGCAGACAGCTTTTAAGAGTTGCTAAGGCAGGAACATCATGGAGACTGGCATGGAAGGATGATGGGAAGTTAAGAGTTAACCTAGGCTACCCCTTACCATCCTAAGTCAACAACAAAGATGTCCAATAATGCAATAAAAACAGCTACAGCAAAGAAAACGAAAGAAGTTGCCACAGAATGATTCTTACAGGGAAAAAAATTGCAGAAGAGTTTCTGTGGTAGAAAAATTTACTATCCTGGAGTCTTCCAAGCTTCACTAAGATGATCTCCAGACAATGGATGAACAGTCCATGTCCTGGATCCTACCCAAAGCCTTCCCACCTTCGTAGGACCTGCCAAAGGTTTCTTTCTGTTGGCCCAGCCTTCAAAAATCCAGGGTCATAAACCTCTCAAGCAGAGGCATCGGTACAGGAAATTAGTGGCAGCTGGCACATGGCTGTGTTCAATAAATGGTTTTTGGTTTTGTTTTTTTATGATGATGATCAACTTTTTTCATTGTTATGTGTTTCAGGTATTTTGACAACTGGGCCTCTCTGTACAATGCAGCTATTCTGATGTGTGTACTAACAGGAAGCTTTTGCCCTTGACATCTGAATGTCATATGTATACACCAGTGACTGTCAATAGGCCGGACAGGGGTATTTTAACCATTTTTGATAGGGCAAAGGGGTTGGAAGAGTTAGATCTATGATTTCACTGGTGGTAGTAAATTCCCAATGATGACAATCTACCAGTGCAAACAAGTACCTGCTTTACAACTTTGAGAGCATTATTAGATAGTTGAGTCTTAGAGGATTTCAGAGAATAACAATTTTTAAAAATAATAATAATAATAATAATTTCTCAAGTAAGTAAACTGATTTTTAAAACTACTTTTGTATCACATAAATATTGACAACATAGTAACAATATTTTTCTCATCTTTTTACTGTCAAATTTCAAGGAAATTCAACTACAAGGAGAAAGGGAAGGAAAGAGAGTAAGGGAAGGAAGAATGAATGGCCTGGAAGAAGGTACTTCTAAGAATATGATTTCTCCAGACCCAAACTACCAAGACATCCTCCTATTCAAATAGCTGCCTAGAGATTAATAGCTGATCCTGAGACTGTGGTTAGAATTAGAGGTACAAATGGGGGCAGCTAGATGGTACAGTGGATAGAGCTCTGGCCTTGGAGTCAGGAGGACCTGAGTTCAAATCCAGCCTCAGACACATAACACTTCCTAGCTGTGTGACTCTGGGCATGTCACCTAACCCCAATTGCCTCACAACAAAAAAAAAAAATTAGAGGTACAACTCAGTAAAAGACACTATTCTCTAGCTAAACACTTAAGAATCAGGATGGCTTAGAAAAAGATTTCAAGCTGTAAAAAAAATCTAATCAAGCCCCTTTTTCATAAATATGAAAACTGAGGCCCAGGGTAGCAATGGCTTGTCCATGGTTACACAGCTACCTAAATTGTGGAACTGAAGCACTAGACTAGGAATCAGGAAACCCATACTTTGCCATGAACTAGCAGTGTGACTTCTTTGGGTATTTGTTTCTTTATGTGTAAAATGAAGAGATTGGATTAGGATTCCCAAGGTCTTCCTAGTCCCAAAATTCTGTGATTCTAGTTTGAAGAAGTCAGTGGAGCAGAGACAATCAATTAACAAGCATTTATAGTATGTTCACTATATGTCATAAGAAGAGGCAGGAGACTTTAGGTAATAAGTTTAAATGCCCACCATTGGATACAGTGCTGGGGCTAGAGTCAGGAAGACCTCAGTTTGAATCCTGCCTTGGCCAAGTACTACCTTATGACATTTGGTGAGTCACAAGCCTCTGCCTTGCCTCAGTTTCCTCATCTATAAAATGGAGATGATAACACCTGCCTCACAGGGTTGTTGTGAAGATCGAGTGAGATAAAACTTGTAAATTGGCCTTGAACATCATAGGCACCTTGGGCATAGAAGGCAATAAATGTTTGGTTTTTTCCCTTCCTTTAGCCCACATGCACCTCCAAATAAATCACTGTCACTATTTATTGCACTTCCACCCTTTTTCTCCAGTTCTGAAACTAGGGTAACAGCTATATGTGTGGACACAGGCACTCAGGAAGGAATGCCCAGGTGGGGAGGGATACTATACAATTCACTCTGAGAGGGCAAAAATCTCATGACAACTTCTTCTACTTTTCTTTTCCCCCTTCATTGACCAACTAGGGAAAAGATCAAAATTATCCAAGTTCGAGATCCAAAATCTAAAGGTGAAAGAAAAAAAAGAAACTGATCTTATACATAACAGACTGATTTTAAGTCTTGGAGGTCTCTCTCTCTCTCACAGTAATCTCTATGATTCATAACTTGACCTAGGTTCTTCCTTGGGAAAATAAAAATCCATCTAGTGGCTCTCAGCTCCCACTGCAACTTAGGGTAACTCTGTAAATTGGGGCGCGGGGGGGGGGGGAATTTTTCAAAATCTAAAGCTGTCTTAGGTTTAGAAAGAGTAAGGAGCTAAAGTCCCATACCTCCCAGTTCAAAAATCCATGTGTGAAGAAACCTAAGGAGCTTACAAGACTTGTCCCAGTTCACCAAGCTAATGCATGACAGAGCTAGACTAGAGCCTGTGTTGATTCCCAGGCTGCTCCATCTACACAGCTTAGGAACTGGGTGACCTTGGACAAGCCACAAATTCTCTGGGCCTGAGTTTCTTGAGTTAAATAAAGAGACTTGGTTCAGAAAAAAAAAAAGAGGAAGATTAACCTAAGACTATTTTCCCTACCCTCTTTATGGCCATAGGAAATTGGCACAAAATAATAGAAGAAGAAAAAAAGAGAGCAACAGAAAGGGTTCCACCACCACCCCCTCATCAGAGAGTTGTTCCAGGACAAATTGATATGCCAAGAATGTGAATTAACAACTTTGAGAAATGTTATCAGAAATTATGGGATATGGAAAGGGGGTGCTATTCTCTATGCCTTCTTAGTAGGACAGGACTGGTGGCTCATTTGCTAGGATAAATATTTAGGACAGAGCTGGCCTTCAGAAGGTACATTAAAAATACAGTACTGTAGTTTGGTCTCCAGCCCAAAGCTTTGGTCTATGGCACTCAGCCATTCATCTCTGCCAACCAGGCCCTGGCCCCATTTCCCCCATTCCAGGAAATACCCTGCCATATACACCTGTTAGGAAGTCTCAAGCATATGCCCCAAGCATCACCTGTGCCTCAACACTCTGCTTTGGGTCTGCCTGGGTCTGCCTGAGGTAGGGGAGGAGAAAGAGGGGAGAGCTCGGACACTAAGAAGGAAGGGGCAAGCAAGAGAAGGAAGCCAGATGCCAGAGCTCTTAGCAAACAGACTCAGCCTCAGAAGCTGAAGGGGGGGGGGGGGGGGATTGGGGGCGGGTCAGAGGGAATGTGAACCTAGAGGGAAGGATGAGGCTGGCGGAGGGGGTAAAAGGGCTGAAAAGGAAGGGATGTGAAGAAGGCTTAGAGAGAGCAGGGGAGTGTGTAGCAGCTCACATTACGCTCCCAGTGTCAGTTGAGGGAGCGTGGCTGCGGTTGCGGGGTTGAAGCTGAAGGGTTTGTGAAATTCTCTGTATTTCTCCCTGCAGCCTGCGCGCCGCCTTCTGATTAGCTCGGGCCGAGCTCCCTCAGCCGACCAGCCGGAGACATTAGGCCTCGCACTGTGAGCCCCGGGGAGAGGAGACCTTGCCCTGAGTCTGCTTCTTGGTCCTTGCGCTGACTGACCCTGCTGCTTGGACTGGAGAGGGGAAGGGTAGACTGCAACCCAGAGTCAATTCCACCCCCGGGGGGGTTGGAAAGAGGAGCAGAGGGAAGGAGGAGTGCTTCTAGGCAGCAGGCAGCGCGAAGCCCCGCCGGGAGGAGCCAACTGCAAGCCCCGGAGATGCGGCCGCTCCCGCCGCACCAGCAGCACGGAGGAGAAGCAAGAGGAGGCTCCGCAGAGAGAGGAGATGGAGGCTTCTACCTTAACCCCTGCAGGCAGCGGCCAGGACCCGGTCCGGAGCTACATATCTCGGCCCAACGTCTCCACCCGCCCGATGGCGAGAGAAGCTCCGGGCCAGGCGATGCTTCGGAACTGATGACCACGGCGACAGGGATGCAGTCGGCTCTCCCCAGTGGCTCGGGACACCCCCGGCACCGGCCTGGAGCCCCAAGGGAGTCACCGGCAGCAAGTCGGTAGCTGCCGGGAAAGCTAGGTCCGGGGCCCCAGCTACTGCAGCTTGCCCGGGGGCGCTGTCCACTGCTGAAGCCCCAGGGGCTCCCGGGGCCGAAGACTCGACACTTCCAGCCTGGATGCGACTCTATTTCTACGGGATGCACGGCATCACCTTGGACGTGCTCATTTCCTCGGCTCGGGGTTTCCTCCACAGCCCCGACCTGAAGATGCTGGGCTTCTCCACTCCCTATCACTGTCTGCTGCACTCGCTCACCCAGTTCGCCCTGGAGAAGGTCTACCTGCAGCGGCGCCGCTGTCCCAGCACCTTCGCCTTTAATTTCCTCTTGTACCCCTCGGCCCACTTGGGGCTGCAGACCTTGGTGGGCAAGGCGCTACTGTTGATAAGCCACGGGGGGCGGCAGTTGGGCGAAGCGGCGCCGGGAGCGCTGGATCTAGCTCTCCAGTACTTGCTGGCAGTCTATTACTCCCAAGTGTTTCTCAAGAGGTTCCTGCGCTTGCGATACCGCCGCCCGCAGCCGCAGCCCCAGCCACAGTGGCGCAGCCCCCCTCCGCTGTCCGGCTCTCGGACAGCTGCGGCGCCCAGCACCGGGCGGCCGCGACCCCGGGGCGCAGGGGTGTTCGGGGGAGCGCCCAGCCAAGGGCTCCCTGACCTTCTCCGCTTTCTCTTCTTCGGGATGCACGGTTTCCTAGATGAGATCTTTTTCACTTTCTTCTTTAACCTTCTGGAACAGGAGGACGGGGCCATTAACGGTCACACTTCGCTCTGGTCTTTTTTTATGTACGGCAGCTGCAGCTTTGTGGTGGAAAAGCTATACTTCTACCTGCACTACAGCCGAGGCTGGGGGACCTGTAAGAGGATTCCCATCTATGTTCTCTTCATCTACACATGGGAATTGTCTTGGGGACTGGGACTCCGCATGTGTGGGGGTTGTTCGTGGGACTACTCTCACTACCCATTGAATTTCATGGGACTTATCACCCTTATGTATTTGCCGGGTTGGATATTTCTTAGCTTCTACCAGGACCTGCTGTCCAATGTGTTGTGGCGTGTACAATACATACCAACTAAATGAAGCAGGAAATAACAACTGAAGTCCCGGGACGTTTTTTAAAGGAAGTTTAAAAAGGGGGGGGGAGGTGTTTTTTAATCTTTTACTTTTTATACATTTTACTAAAGTCACTTCGAACATGTTTTATTTACAATTTTGGTTTTCTGGGTGTTTTGAACCTATGCGTAATATAGTACCTTGAAATATGGCACTTTGGAGATGAGTTCTAACTCAAAGTATTTAACTCTTCTTTTAAAACTTTTGCTACAAACACACACACACACACACACACACACACACACACACACAAACCTTCCTACCTTAAAGACTGAAAGCTGTGGTTTACACTTACCTGTGGGTGCATCAGTGAGGGCTACTAACCTTTCGTAAATGGGAAGTGCTTCCATGAAAGACCAATAACTTTCAAAAGATTTAGTGAAGTTTTCTAATTTTCCTTTACATATTAATCCAGGCTGCTACTTTTCATGCCACCAATGCCTGCTGAAATTCACTGACCTGAACACCTGAAATTGCAGCTTGTAACTCTCAAAGTGCCTCTGTCTAGCATTTAAGTGGAAGGAAGGAAGCTGATGAATGTGGGAATAATCCTAAGAATAGTATCTAAATAAGAGGTCTTTCCCAGCAGCTCAGACAGTTGACACTATGTTAAGATATTGATCTCCATCTTGGAAAAGACTGCTTTCCAGTGTTGGTTAGCCTTAAACACCACGTGTATTAAAGTTGATAAAATCTTATTTTATCTATGCTTGATTTTTCTTTTTTTAAAACAAATTATAAAACAAAATGCATACCTCCAGCAGTGAGAATCTCCTTCAAAAGTACTCTTATTCTAAGGCCCTGTTTCTAGGTCAAGCTCAAATCCGTGATACTGTGATCCTAAAGAGAAACAAATATCTGGAAGAATAAAGTACTTATCATAAAATCGTTGGATTCAAAATTGGAAAGGACCAGAGAGATTATCTATTCCAACTCCTTTATTTTACAGATGAAGATTCTGGACCCCAGGAGAGGTTAAGTGAATTGCCCAAAGTCACAAAGACTTATACTGTTATTAGACACAAATCTATCAGATGGCCTATTCCCGCTTTATAACATCTTTGAAAGTATATCATTTCATCTGGGACCTCTAGGGTACATAGGTTAGGCCTGATGCATCAATGCTTAGAAGAAATCAGTGATGGATTTTTGTGACTCATCGTAACTGCCCTAAATTAAATAAAGTAAAGGGGGGGAAATTGTATATAAACCAAGAAAACTTGTTTAATTAAAAATTACCTTTCTGGGGGTTGTTAAATGGGGGGGAGGGGAATAGACTAGAGTTTAATACAGACCACATAAGACTAATCAAAACCATCTCAATGATCATTACAGAGACAGGAAAATCTGAAAGTACTTTTTAATATGAATATTGCTTTATGTAAGCATACTTGTTTACATATAAATTCTTTGACTTTTCTTGAGTTTTCCTCATCCACCCTCTATAATACATTGAATCAATGGATAAAGTAAAATTTGCCACATTTGTTTAAACCCAGTAAGACGCACATAGCTCATTTTTGTCTTTCTACCCCCCAGTACCTTGCATGTAGGTGCTTGGTTAATATTTGTTTACTTGAAATGAACTGACCTACAGGTAAAATGCATGAAAGCAAACTAGTAAATCCTAGCCACCAATAGTCATTACTGTGGGCAAAAGACCTGGGTTTTAATATAGACAGCTAAATGACACGGGGGCTAGAGTGCCAGACCTGGAATGAGAAAGACCTTTCAACAAAACTTTATATGAGGAAGCATCTGTGATCACTAAACATCCAAGGAACTGCTCCTGAAATCACCACTTGCTTCTGTATCTAGGGACAAGTGTTACAAATGTATGCCAATTTCACCACTAGCCTTCTTTCATGACTGAATGACATAAGCATCTTAGCTTATTCATAAAGTCAATCATCTTCTTTACACCTCAGTTTCCTTATCTGTAAGATGGGGCTAATAATAGCATTTACCTCCCAGGGTGGTTGTGAGGATCGCATGAGATAATATTTGTTAAAAGTGTTTTTCAAAGGGCTATATAAATGCCAGCTACTATTATTGTTATGTAGAAAAGTGCTGCAGTTCGTAGAGCCTAATCATTAGACCTCCCAGTTAAAATATCAGCTAGAGTATCCAACTATCCACAAAGCATCTGTGAATACAGTGTTATTTTATTGTTATTGGGAGTCAGAAGTCCTGGATTCAAATCCCAAATCTGTCACTTACTAAGTGCCAAAATTTAAGGTTTAGTCACTTAACCTCTCCAGGTTTCTACTTCTTCATCTGCAAAATAGAAGGGGCTAGACTCTTTCAGCTCTATGATCCAAAAAATAATAATTCACTAGCAGTGATCATTTTAACCAGATCTATATGGAGGCTGCTCTTATTCAAGAAGTGCTTATCAGAATTGTGGGTTATGCAAGGCTCCTTGCCCCAGTGCTATTTATCTTTGAATATGTTCAAATTTATGCTTGAATGCCATTTCACTGCTCTTCCCTACCTACCCATACCCAAAGGAAAGCTCGAGAAAGGAAGTGATAAACCAGACAAATCTATTACTTGTTTGTAGCAGTAGTATTAAGGGATATAGGAAATACAGCGATGGAAAATATTTTCAATTCCTTGTGAATTTCAATTATCCATATTATCTTTATCTCCTGTTACCAGTGGTCATAAATTGTCTGTGTTACAGCAAAAGCTGTTTACAACATTCTCCTCATTAAATAAATTGATAGGTAGAAAGAAATTGAATCTGGAACTGAGATCAGCAATATGTACTAATTCTATTTTCCCAAATTCTGAGGCTCTGTATTTGAGTGATATGCCCTGGTACAGTTGCACAGAGCTAGGGAATGTGGGTTCTAGGAAGGATATTAGAGATCATGAAGTCCAACCTCTTCATTTTATAAATGAAAAAACTGAAGTGTATCTAAGTAAAAACAACTTGCCACAGGTCAAAAGTCAAGTGAATGATGCAGTTGAGGCTAAAACCCAGATCTTCTGTCTCTCAATGGTGCCCATGTGGTGGTCTAAACTCTTTGCATTGTACTTCACTGTCCTAAGTCAGAAAGCTTTGTGTTGATCAGCTAATAAGCATTAAGTGTCTGCTACATACCAGACACTGTGCTAAGTACTGAGGGTACAAAGACAAAACACAGTGCCTTCTCTCAAGGAGCTCACAGTCTAAGGGGGAAGACAACATGCAAACAACTATAGGATCAGGACAAACTGGAAATAATCAACAGAAGAAAGTTACTAAGATGATGGGGGATTGGAAAAGGCTTTAATATTAGCCCAAGAATCCAAGATAATAACTCACATTCGTATAAAACATTAAGGTCTTCAAAGGGATTTCCTTACAGCACCATGAGGTATTTAGTACAGCCATTATTATCCTCATTTTTTTTTTAGGCAATTGGGGTTAAGTGACTTGCCCACAGTCACACAGCTAGTAAGAGTCAAGTGTTTGATCTGAGGCCACATTTGAACTCAGTTCTTCCTGACTTCAGAGCCAGTGCTCCATCCATTGCACCATCTACCTGCCCCACCCTCATTTTGAAGATGAGAAAATGAGACTCTGAGAGGTTAAATAATTTAACTGCATTCACACACCAAATAAGTGGTTAAGGTAAAAATCAAACTCAGGTTTGTTTGGTTTTTTTTTTTACTTCTTCTCTAGCATTCTTTATACTACACCAAACTGTCACCTAAAAGCCTAATAGAAATCATTTGAGAAAATGCTACCCCAGTGCCTTAGTTTGGCATGGAGATAAGTGCCAGAGGTATACTGGAGCTATCTCTTACTGTATTGTTTTATTTTCAGTATGAGCATTCATATGTTGGAAACTGGCAAAGCTACAAATCAGGGCTTAATTTATTGTTTGTCTAGACTCAATAAAATGATGGATAAAATGGTAATAACGCAGATTAAACTAAAAATTGTACCTTGTATACTTTTTTTATTGGTTGGGGATAGCCAATTGTTAACCATTTACTAACACGTTCCCAGAGGTAACCCAACTTTCCCAAAGGTTATGTCAGCATGACACAAGCTTGAGATGATTCTACTAAGCTACAAAGATTTCAAGCATGCACCAACTGGTGACTGTATCTACTATCCAAAGACCAGGCTAGTCAAAGAAAGAGACGTATTGTTACCAGAAAGTAGGTTCAATAATTGATCAATTTTTGGCACTGGTAGCCTCTTTCAAAACTCAGAATAAATAGCACTGGTGAAAAATCCAACATATTAAAACAGTATATGTGCATGCATTTTTAATTAATATTTGTTTAAATTCAGTAGGCTGGGTAAAGTTTGGAGGAGAAAGAGGCAATGATGAATATCTTATTCTTAGCTGATAGTATGGACATCAGAACATTTACATATAAAGTGACAGCACTCAATCCCTTTCAAATTCAATTTAAATCTAACATTTCTTAAAAGTCTTTTAGATCTGAGGATTTTAGGATTAGAAATTCAGAATCAAAAGTGACCTCAGAGGTAATATGCACATTTGGGTGTGATTACCGACTCTCATAAGAAGCTAGGTGGCACAGTGAATAGAGTGCTGGGCCCTGAGTTACAGTCTGGCCTCAGATATGTACTGGCTGTGTGACCCTGGGCAAGTCACTTAACCCTTTGCTCAGTTTCCTCATCTGTAAAATAAGCTGGAGAAGAAAATGGCAAACTATTCCAGTGTCTTTGCCAAGACAACCCCAAATGAGGTCACAAAGAATCAAACGTGACTAAAACCACTGAACAACTGACTCTTAGAAATCATGTCACCATGAAATGTCAGTAATAGTAATATGTGTAGGCACAAAACTCATATATAACATATGAGCTAGCTTTACTAAGATTGGCAATAATGTGGTTAATTCAGCTTCTAATATTTTATGTCAACATTTAACAGTTCCCATACACAAACATTCACTTAGTGAATACAGCTTAGGAAGCATCTTGCTATGTAGGAACATAACTAAATGAACAAGGCTGGCATTTTGATAATGTATTCTTAACTATTTTGGAAATGATAAGCAGTATCTGCCTTGTTCTGCTTCAGGGGACAGGAGAAAGAAGTTCAAATAAACAATTGGCTTCATTTCCTTTTTTCAGTAATGTATATATGAAATCGATAACAATGGAAAGGAAATTATCTTAACTTGGAATGACAAACAAGCCACCACAGTGTAATGTCTGAAAGCATTTTTTTAAAAACTATTTTTGCCTGTATTAAAAGGCAGTAACATAAAAATACACTGGGCTTTAAATTAATTTTATATATCTCATGCATTACAGCACTGACATATACAATGCATTATGTATTCAATTGAGTTGCTTTTTGTGAGCTTTATTTTGTTTTCAGAACTGGCATTTCACCAGTGCTGGAAGCTCCCTGGTATGGAAACTTCCTGCACTAATGCAAATCAGCAGCAACTCCTCTGTAACTTGGATTCTTACAGAGTTGCTTGGGCCACTGAAAGGTTCTATGACTCTCCCTGGTCACTCAGCCAGTATGTGTTAGAGGCAAGGCCTGAACCTACATCTTCCTGATTAAAAGGCCAGGCCCTAGTCCATGCTGATGCTTCTACTATACGTTGAGTTAGAGTATACATGCTGTATATAAATATGTACATGAATATGTGCACATATATATACATATATGTACATACTATAGTGTATAGCAACATATAGTACATGCGTGCATA